CTCTACTAAAAATACAAAAATTATCTGGGCATGGTGGCGGGCACCTGTAATCCCAGCTAGTCAAGAGGCTGAGGTAGGAGAATCGCTTGAACCTGGGAGGCAGAGGTTGCAGTGAGTCGAGGTCGTACCATTGCACTCCAGCCTGGGCAACAAGAGCAAAACTCCATCTCAAAAAAATAAAATAAAAAATAAAGATTAAAAAATTTATTGTTTCTCCATCTACCGATGTGGGGAAAAAGACAGTTTTGTGATGAATAAAGTGAAAGTACTTGTGTTTTAATTAAAGTGTTTGGATGATAATGCCATCAAGCATAATATAAACTTATCATATTGATATATATGCATCATTACTATTCATATACGATCTGAACTTCCTGTCTCATCAGTTCTTCAAAAAGCTTCAGATATATGGCCAGGTGCAGTGGCTCATGCCTGTAATCCCCGCACTTTGGGAGGCTGAGCAAAGCAGATCACCTGAGGTCAGGAGTTTGAGACCAGCCTGGCCAACATGGCAAAACCCTGTCCCTACTAAAAATACAAAACTTAGGCCAGGCGTGGTGGCGCACACCTGTAATCCCAGGTTCTTGGAAGGCTGAGGCAAGAGAATTGCTTGAACCCAGGAAGTGGAGGGTGTAGTGAGCTGAGATCACGCCACTGCACTCTAGCTTGGGCAACAGAGTGAGACTCAGCCTCCAAACCAAAAAACAAAAGGGTTCAGATATATTTAGTCAAGGAGAGGGATGCCGCCTGGATACCACCATAGTAACCAGATGGAAGTCACCTGAATATGAAAACAGATTCTTAGTTTGGGACTTTTAACAAATAGGCTTATTTTAGGATAATTATATATGCTGTAGATATGTATGCTGTAGATAAATGTACATAGTTATATTTTTAGAATTATTAAACATATAAAGTGAAATATATTGATAAGAAAACCATATAAACATGAGTAGAATCTTTCCTTAGCTAGGATACAGGGTTGGAGTGCAGTGGGAAACTAGAGCAGCATCTCATTCTCATTTTCTGTTTTGTCATTATCTGCCATACTTTGTTGTCTCATGCATCTTCTTTGATCCCACTATCTGAACTTAATGTAATCTCTCTCTGAATTCTTGTGTATGTTTAAAATGCTTCTCTGCAAACATCTTAGTGCCCTATTGTTAGACTTTATAGGGCTTTGCTGGAAATCTTTATAAATAGCTTTGTTAATCTTTCCAAACTAACTGTTCTTATGCTGCTTCTGACTGCTGTTTTTTTCTGCAGTGTTTCTTCTTATGCCCTGTATTCTCTGATACTTTATCCTGCCACTTCTTCCCCCGATCTCTTTCTCTTCTTACGCTACTGACATCTTTGATGAGGCTACACAAGCTCTTCTGTCTGCTAAGCTTCTTTCTTTGGCTTTTTCTCTCTGAACAGTGAAAACCCTACGGTAACCTCAATCATCTGGGCAGGGAAGGACTGTATTCTACTACAGAGAAGAAAAGCAGCCTTCCTTCTATGACACTTTTTATTCTTTACTTAAAAGCCACAGCAAAGCAACTGGTACATCAAACATGTCTTTTATGTGTGTCACAGAAGCCTTTCACAAGGTACATTTATATTTAGGAAATTACAGAACTTTTATAATTTGCTATGATTGAAACGATACCATAGTACTTGAATATAGAGAAGCGCTTTGAATTAGAAAACACTTGAAATATATGACTTCCAGAACTTTGCTAATTCTTATTTAATAATAACTCTGTGTGATAATGGTCCCAGGGGCTGGGCACGGTGGCTCACACCTGTAATCCCAGCACTTTGTGAGGCCAAGGCAGGTGGACTGCCTGAGCTCAGGAGCTTGCGACCAGCCTGGGCAACATGGTGAAACCCCATCTCCACTAAAATACAAAAAAATGAGCTGAGTGTGGCAGCGTGCACCTGTAGTCCCAGTTACTCAGGAGGCTGAGGCAGGAGAACTGCTTGAACCTGGGAGGCGGAGGTTGCAGTGAGCTGAGATCACATCATTGCACTCCAGCCTGGGCAACAGAGCGAGAATCCATCTCAAAAAAAAAAAAAAAGAAAGAAAGAAAGAATGAAAAAAGAGAATGGTCCCAGGAATTTTACAAAGGACCAGTAAAATAATGTGGTAGAAGATGAAGATGGATAATAAATATTAAAACAATTATATTCACAATCTGTTACAATACAACAAATCCCAAAATTTTAGCAGCTCAAAACAACAAACATGATCTTACACAGTTTCTGAAGGCTGGGAATTCAGGAATGGCTTAGTCTGGTGGTTCTCTCCTGAAGTTGCAGTCATCTGAAGGCCTGATTGGGGGTGGAAGACTCACTTCTAAGGTTTTCTCATTCACATGTCTGTTGTCAGGAGTCCTCAGTCCCTTGCTAGCCATTGGCAAGAGACCTTAGTTCCTACCAACTAGACCTCTCAGCTGCCTGAGTGTCTTTTAAGACATGGCAGCTGGCCAGGCATGGTGGCTCATGCCTGTAATCCTGGCGCTTTGGGAGGCTGAGGCAGGAGGAATGTTTGAGCCCAGAAGTGTGAGACCAGCCTGGGCAACATAATGAGACCCTATCTCTACAAAAAAAAAAAAAAGACATGGCAGCTGGCTTCCTCCCAGATGAAGAATCCAAGAAATCACAGCAAGGTAAAAGACACAATGTCTTTTATAACCTAGATGTTGAAGTGTTACCACTTCTACCATTGGTAACACAGACCAATGCTGACACAATGTGGGAGGGGATTACCCAGGATGTGAGTACCAAGAGGTGGAACATGTGGGGTTGTGTTGGTGGCT